CAGACAAGCTCTACCCGCTCCCCCTACGCGCCCGCGGCCGAAACACCGCTCGAGCCCAAAATCTCCATCTTGTCTGAAGCTCTGAAGTCTGCCGCCAGGCAAAGGAAGCTCCTGGACAAAGCCAATGCCCCTGCGATTGGCATGTTCATGTTTCATTATTCAAGAGCTTCGTAGGATTGTTCTCCGCAGGGTGCAGAGAAGAGGCTCCCCTTCTGCTGGGATTCGCTAGGGCTTCCCACGGTTTCGCCATGTTGTCTGGAGATCTTTGAGGCTTGCTGGCCGTGACTCTCAATTTCTTTCGGGCTGTGCCAAAGCGTGCGGGCACCCAGAGTAGGGAGCCGGTGAGATGCAGCGGGGGAGGGGCTTACTGCAAACTTTCCGCGTTATGGAATTGGAGCTGTGTTTGACTGTAAAGGGTTTGCAATGGATGGCTGTCTGCAGAATTTTGCGAAGCCTTAGCACCCAGACCGTCTGGCAAAGCATCTTGTGCGTGTTGCAAGGGTTTTGGGAGCACGCTTACAAACTGAACCTGGCAAGCTTGAATCGACACTAAATCAAATCTTCCTGCGGCGCCGAACCCAGAACGTGCAAGCCTCAAACCCCTGTGGACTTCCGAGTCCCACTGCAAGGCAGCCCAATGTCCTCGAAAGTGGGCCGCGTCCCAGCACTTCATGCGGGGTTCCCAGCTATAGCTCAGGTCTAAATTGGAGTCTTCCAATTGTAGGTCACAGTTGGATTTTTTGGGCTGTAATTTTAAAGCTCAAACTTGCAGTGGGCCGGCTGGACATTGAGACACAGAGTTGATGACAAACTTCGCCCCCGTGCTTTGCTGACCTGGGGGGCCCTTTACTGCAAAACGTCGAGTCACCTTCGCAGGGATGCCAGAATTCCACCAAGAAGGAACTAAATTTCAAGGCTTCAAATTTTGCCAGTCGCAGGTGACGGTGACCCTGGACGATGGCACAGACCAGGCCGGCAGAGACCATCCCCCATCACAAAACAGCAGCTCATCCGGCTGCAAGCACTTTGCTCAGAGAGGTGCTTTATTTGCCAGGTTCCTGTTGAACTGCAGCATACCTGCAAAAACAGTACAAACATGTTTGGATTTCGATCCAACCAGTGAGGTAGGTTTGCCCTGCCATTCTGCAACGCAATTTCCTGTACGTTGAGCTCCTCCTGCAACACAGGGCCTGAAAATGCTCATCATCGGGGTTGTTGATCATGGAAGGGAAGGGATATCAGTCTTTGGCCGCTTCTGGCTGCCAGGGTTTTTTGACGGCATTGGTGAATTTGGTGCTGGCTTGCCAGCATGCAGGTGTTAGTTGGTGTCTGATGCGCAAAAGTGGACATTGGTTTGGTCTGGGCTCCGGGATCAATTTTGACCTGGAGGCCATGGAGTTTATCGGAGTCCACCAGCGGTGAGGGCCCAAGCAATGTCGTAGCCATGAGACTTTAGATGACGCTGCAGCCTCGAGGATTGACTGGCGGCCCCTTTTGCGCGTATTGAGCACGCTGCTGACGTCCAATGAGTCTAATTCACCCTTGACGCACAGACCTGGAGTTTTACGCGGGACGTCAGTTAAGTTGCGCAGCAACTTCCGTGAGTCCAATTAGTGGGAACGGAAGCCCTGCTGAGAGCAGTGCAGGCGCTACTACGTGGAAGATCCTGCTTCGGACGCCTTGGCGCAGCATCTGGCACTTGCGGGAGGGGGGGGGGTTAGCTGTGCATGTGGAGACTACGGCAGGGATGGTGTATGAGCACACGCTGTGTTGATCTTGCATGGCAGAGTGGCTTCGCTCCGAACACATTGAGTTTTCGCGGCTTTTTTTGTGCTTTATGTAAAGGATCTTAACAAGCTTGGCTCATCTTGGCAATCACCACTGCCGAAACCTTTCTTGGTAGGTTGAATTGGCCGCCCTTACTTAATTTCACGATGACTTCTGAATTCAGAGCCATCATGCAAGCCAGGCGAACATCTCGGCCTCCTATCCATACGCTCGCAGTTCTTATGCAGCCTCGCATCTCACAGGAAAGTAAATCCGCACTGATCTGGGCCGCAGAGAGAATCACAAAACTACAATCCCGAACCGACCTTCGATTCCACCTCGCACTGCGGGCAGACCGAGAGCCTGCTGCGCGTCGCTCTGGAGCTGCTTGCCGGAATTGTGGTTCAAGGGGCAATCGCCAAAAGAGCTCACTTTTTCGCTTGCCTGGAGTATAAAAACAGCAGTTGGGCAATTGGAATGAGGACTGGATCTGTTGTTCATATTTGAATGGTTGGCATTACGTTTTGTAGCATTTCTTTTTGTGTTGTTGGTACCTCATAGACAGACTGAGGAGGGCATGTTCTTAGTTGCGGAAGCTCAGGTTTATCTTCCACCCTTCTCGCAGCCGCTTCGCCAAAGAGCGGGTGCTGCTTCGCGAGCCCGGGCCCGGGTTTGCAGGTTTGGATCTCTTGCGGCTCTCGTGAACTCAGGATCTTCAACAGCCGATGCACGTTCACCAAGATTCTACATATCTTGGGCAATAATACACCTCTAGCCAAGCCAGAATGTACAAGCTTTCCTGCTCAACTTCGAAAAGTCCAAAAGTCCAAACCATGAAAGCCAGGTGCAGCCTTGACAAAGAGGCCTTGCACAGCCGGGAAGAGCTGCTGCCAAGGACGTAAATCATACATTGGACATCGCCACCCAGCTTTTGAGGGCAGTAGACCAAGAAAAGGCGACCGCTTCCAGGCTAAGTCATGATTTTGGAAGGATTTCTAAAAAATTCTCAGGCAATTGAAGCGCAGACGGCCAAGACAGTCCTCAGCCGGTGCCAGGATGGTGGATGGCATCCGGCGCTGCAATGACAAGATCCAGGAGGTGAAATTGGAGCCAGCAGCTCAGGATGCAGACTGCCTAGTCACCTAGTTATGGAACTCAGAGCCGAAAACCAACTCAGCTTGCACCCCATGGATTCACGTAGGTAACGCCTGCAGAAAGCTGCATGCCAAGCGCTTGAGGATGGGTGGGCCCCGTCCGCCGACCAACACCGCCAGGAAGGCAGTCAGTTGTCCTGGTTAGAGTACGGTAGAGTACTGGTGAGGATGTGTACAGTTCAAATCGCGCTTGGGCTTGTACCAGAAGAAGGTTGGCTTGCAAGCAGATGGACAAACCCACAGAAGGAAGGGCCCGAGTCGTAACGGTAGCTGTTTTGCTTCGTTCTGTTTTGGTCGGAAACGAAACTTCTAAAGGATCCAACTTGCTTGACCTACAGCGAGCTGCTGGCCCGTCTGATTTACATTGTCTTCTTGCACTGTCCAATGCAGAGTCTGGCTTGAGTTTGATGTCCTCTGCGAAGGCATGGTGGGTCGTTGAATTTCATTACAGGATCCGGACGCCTTGGCTTCAAGCCTTCGAAGCCTGAAGCCAAAAAGCTATCCCTTGAAATCAAGCGAATCGATATCTGTTTTTCCTAAGTATGTGTCGCAGAAGAAGCAGGAAAAGAGCTTCCTGGCGCTTGACGAAGATGTCTTGAAAGTGGCACCTGCCAAAGAGCAGGTCAAGGCCATGGGTTGGGCTGCGGTTTGGAGGTTCTGTCATTGCTGGTTTGAGATTTAGCTCAAGCGGGATTGCCGCGGGCTTTGAGAAACGTAGTGGTAATTCTGTACATTTAGGAAAGCCCAGGTGGAGTTTGCTCGGCTCTTGTGTTGGAAGCCGTGCCAAAAGTCGACTGCAATTCTCATGACTGTGATAGTTCTGTCCGGGGCTGGTAGGAGTTGTCAACATCAAGAGATGAGGAGCTCCCTATGCGCTACATCAGGTCCTGCACTACACAAGATGATGAGCAAAAATGTTGCAGGATACGCCTTCTCTGACATTGTTGACCTGAATCGCTTCTCCATGAGCTTTTCTTTTCTAATTCCATCACTTTCGGTCCAACACTGTGTATTGGCCAACAACATGTCAATCAACAACGCTGAATCCATGAACATCTTGTCAGGCTAGTCTGCAAGCCCCGATATACATGTCTGTTCAACTTGCTAAGTGCTCTGGCAGCGCTGCAGCAACACCAAGACCTAATTGTGCAGCTCAGTCTGCCCCCCCGGCGGGAAGCGCCTTCCGCGGCATGAAGTCGGGCTTCCTCAACTCTGACAAGGCGCTAGTTGTGGACGGGACACAGGCATTGCGAGGTACTTGGGAGGTACTTGGGAGGAGCGCCGAGAATTATGCATTGCAACTGAGGCAAAGCGCCGGGGCCTGCCCGCGCCGAAAGCGGCACAGGAGGCGAACCAACGGTGAGCATGTGAACTTTACATGGAGAGCGGACAAGGTCACAATAACCGTAATCGAGTTATGTCGCAGTGCCTATGAGCGCAGCTGTCCTTGTGGTGCTTGGCGGCCAGACCTCAACCCCGCACACTCCAAAGACTAGGAGAGGACAGTCTCACCAAGCAGTCTGACATCCATGTGCCTAATCCCTCCTACTGACTTCACCATCAACAACCTGCCAAAACCCCGAAATCAAAGCATTTGCGCAGACCTCAGCCTCTGCCGCATCCTCGAGCTCTCAGGCTCTGGAAGACTTGGCCCTCCAGGGATTCACTATGTTGATTTCAAACCTGAGCTTATCTTGAAATTGAGGGATGATATTTCGAGGCTTAAGACAAGACTGGAAGTGAAGGCCGTGAAGCGGCTTGTGGCAGCAAGGGTTTCGGATCCCGCCGGAAGTCATCCGATTGGACCAATCACCGGACTTGTGAGGACTCTACAGGACTTTGCCTCTGCTCCCTTCCATTACTGATGTGTTGTTTCCTCAGACGACCTGGAGGGCCACCTGTCAACTTATTCATGCACATTTGGACGATTGAGCAGACGAGATCTAGCTTACAGCTTTGAAGGTTTCAGGCTCAGGCAGGCAACGCATGGATGGGTGCGGTTGATGCCAGCTCCAACGTGCGATGCATTTCTCGTCTTCCGCAGCACTGGCTCTAGACACCCAAGGTGGGTCCCCTGCAATGGGTGCCATGAGGGCACTGCGCTCGCTGTCGCTTCGCTCCGTGTCGCTCGGCCGGGTCCAAGATATCAGGCCATCTACCTGTGTTTGCCTCCGGAAGTTTAGCGGGCTGGCAGATGAAGGTGGCGGGCTTCCAAGTTCGATGACAGGCACGGTGAAACCTGGAGAGACAGCTGACATTGCTACTGTGATCCGTAACTGGTGGGCCTTTCCCGCCGTGGGCTTTGGCTCCTGCTTGGAGCTGCCGGTGCACCAATTTGAGGTCCTGGGCACTGAAACGAAGTCTCTGGGCTCTGTTGTGGTGCCCAACAGCATCTTTGGCCTGCCAATCCGCAAAGACCTAATCTTCAAAGCTTATTGGTATCATCGTCGCAAGCTGGCGGGATACCAGGACACGATGCAGCTCTACAAGTGGGAGTGGCCTGGCGCCAACCGGAAGGTTCGATCCCAGAAGAAGTCTGGCAAAGGCCGCATGGGCCGCAGGAAGGCACCCGGCAGGTTCGAGGGTGTCCACTGCCATGCCCTGCGTCCGCGCGACTGGGGAAACACCAAGCTGAACAGCCGAGTGCTTTGGCGGGCCGTTCGCTGCATGCTGTCTGTGAAATTCGTACAGAACTCCATCAAGGTGGTTGACTCGTTCAACCTCCAATCCCACAAAACCAAGCACTTGGTGCAGCACCTGCGCAGATTGCTTGGTCATAGGTGCCACAGCGCGCTGCTGGTGCATGAAGGCAATTTCGATGTCAATGACAACTGCCGGTGGGCTTCGGCGCATATTCCGGCTATCCGTCGGGAGAACGTAGAGGGGCTGAGTGTCTACAACCTCTTGAAGTACCACGAAGTGGTGATCACAGAGGCAGCCCTTGCAAAGCTTCTCAAGGAGATCTTCCTCTTTCCGCGCAAGCGGGGGTGGATACAACGCTATGCGACGCCCGACCGGACTCGAGCTCCGGTGCCGGAGAAAGTCCCCGGGTGGAACCGAGCGTGGGTGGAGAAGAAGGAGAGAATCCGGAATTCGGAGTTCCGTGCCCGTGAGTTCTTCCAGGAATCCCTGAAGTGGAAGTGGTCCTCAGACCTGAAGGGGCCCTTGAAAGTGCCGCGAACTGATGCGCTCAGCGGCTTCCGGGTGAAGGATTTTCTATTGGCGCCAGAGGCGCCTGCCTGGGAGAAGCTCGAGAGCCTCTACGGCGACGAAGAGCCGCTGGAGGAGCTCGAGGATGAGGAATTTGAAGAACTCACCGGCAACCTTGATGCACTACGGGAGCGAGGAGAGGCCAAAAGCAACATCCTCGACAGGCCCGAAGTGGCCCAGAAGGGCCTGCACCAGTTGGCTCAGCTGGCGCAGACACGGAAGAGCTGATGCACATGAAGCTCCGGACTCGCATTCTCGATCTTGGCTTTCCGATGCAACGGAGGCTTGGAAGCCTGGAAAGCGCGTCAAAGCCTAGAAAATGAGCATTTGCTGACCCTAAGCCGCCCAACTGAGCAAATCGTTCCCAGTCCCACTCTGACAGAGGCGGCACCGGAGTCACCAGAGCCCAGAAGCGGAGCCTTGCCGGAGAGGCCAGCGAGGCCAGCTGGATGGTTAGTCGATGCAACGGTCAGAAGCTAGGAGAGGCAGTACCATGCACTAGCTATTTAAACGAATTCTTCTCTGTGCTCCCTTTGTTGCAGATACTGGATCAACAGGCATGTTTCCAGCGCAGAGTGTAGCGAACCACGGTTTTGAGTTGACAGAACTGGAAGGTGGGGCGAAGTTCAAGATCTAGGTTAGGGCCTTGCAGGCATTATGGGCAGGAGAGCGTTGATGTTCCGCTGCTCCACGAGTTTGACTATGCTTTCCTCAAATATCTTAAGTTCCCTTTAAGCAGCAATAGATGAAGCCGACTGTCACCCCGTCAACCTGCAAAGAAGCTACAGCACCGCCGTACTGCCGCACGCTGGCAATCCAGAAAGCAGCAACGACTTCCAAATGCATCCCGTCGCATGAGGCCTGTAGAAACCACGGCAGATGAGAAGAGGCAGCTCCTGCTGCCGGCTGCAAGGAACTGAGCTTCAGGCACTAATCCGCCAGTGCTTCGGGCTGTGGGGGATGCGATGTTGTTTTGTTCTGAAGGTTGTTTGATGAGTTTCATGTTTGTGGTTGTGTGGGTCCCGCTTCAAATTCTGCGGGCAGGTAAGGCTTTCTATTGTGCAGGTCTGGAGCCTGGAGCCTATGACAGCCTATGGCCACGCACGAGCGTGGCTCCAGCAGCGCACTGCCGAAATTCTCCAGCTGTAGAGTGCTTGCCTGAAGAGCAATTTTTTGTAGACATCTGCCTGAACAGGGCGACGAAGAGGTTAAAACCCGAAATCCTACAGTTTACAGCTACCGACTCTTGGCTCTCAACCCCTGCTCCTCACTCCTTAGTGTCCTAACTACATCACGCCCAACCTGTCTTAAAGGCTTACAGCAAGTCTTGACGGTTTCAAAGGCTGAGCCCGCGCCCAACGAAGCTCGGGCTCGTGAAGTGGTCCCGCCCTCGGGCGAGTTTAACTCGGGTCCCCAGAAAACACATTCATGACATTTTACGAGCATTTGCTGATTCACGACCAAACGAGTCGAAGAAAGCTGCGCAGGCCTTGGCCCTGCACAATCCGACTCCAGATCAGCTCCCAGAGGATGTGAAAGTGGGAGAGACGGGGGTGTACCAATATTTAAGGGTCCACGACCTGGAGTGACGAGTAAAGCGGCATGGAGTCCTAAGCTGCTTGGGATGCCAGGACTTCCCCACACGCAGGACCGTATGTCACTTGAGAACATCGAGGATCTGCAATAGCAATAGCAGCATCGCAAGCCGTTTATATTCACAGCAGTTTTCGGAAAGCCTCATGTCTTGGCAGGAATCAGCCACAGACAGGGCCAATGGTCATGAGGTGTCATGAGGTGTCCAGGTTGCGAAGCTGACACCCCAACCTTCGACTGCAAGCTCACCACAGCAGAGGCAAGCCAACCTACCCCGGTTGAGATGCTTCAACGCCTTTCCCACACGCTTGTCGTAGCAGCGTAGCACGCTCTGAAGCGGAGGAGCCTGACTCGCCAGAGGATGCAGGCTGCAAGGGGTTGAGGGCTCTTGGGCTCTGGAGATGAGCTTCTGGGGGAGGATCTAGATCGCAAAACTTGGAAGCACTCAGTGTTTGTCAAAAATTCAGGGCCGATGCTGCAAGTTCAAGCTGAAGTGAACTTGGCGTGTCCATTTTGGGTCACCACTTTGCAATTTGTTTCGGTCACTCGATGAGAGCATCCTGAGGCCTTGGGTGCACGATCCACGGATCGGGATGAAATTCATGTTTCAGCAGCCGCATGGCAATTGACTTCGAAAGTCAATGTTTGGCAAGTGGTGATGCGGTGACTTTTTTTTTTTTTTGGGAGGGGGGGGGAGGCTGTTTGGGAATCATTCAGGAATCTTGCACATCAAACAAAGATCAGCGTAGCATAACTCTTCATCAGTACCGTGCAAGCCACATACAGGATCAACCAGCATTGGCGAGCTGGCAAACCAGCTTTTCGGAGCAGCAGGGCTCCCCAGATTTTCATGCAGGGCTTTGGCTAACCAGAGCAACAAAAGAGAACCTCGCAGATTGGAATTCCAACTTCGATTGGTGCCATCCTAGAAGCTCGAAGCTCCATCTGCCAAAAGACACAGTGAAGCTTGAGGAACCCCAAGATACCTCTGGCAGACAATGAAAGCTCGAACGCAGCATGTACCTCCATTCCGACCAACACGAGGTAGGATTCTGGAAAGGTTTTGGTGAGTATATTCTAGTTGAAGTGTATAAGGTTCCTCAGGAACATTGATGAGTATATATGGGTGTCCATCTGGAGAGACCATAAATAAAGCCTCTAGACATTTCAGAGTCAGGAAAAGAATCAGATTTCCGAGAAGGGAACCCGTAGAGCATCCAAGGCAGAGCTGGAGGAAGCCAGTGAGCGCACAGAGTCCACAGAGCTGCCCTCACCATTGGCCGCCGCGAGCCAAGAGCGTTCCTACAACCCAACCCGAGCCCACAGCATGCCTTACCTGAAGGCTGGGGATGCGGCGAGAAAAGACGAAACCTCCGTTTTAAACAGCAACCGCCTCTCGCCTCTCTCGCCTCTCTCGCCTTTGCCTTTGAGGGAGCCTCCACCGCGCTGTCAGAGCAATCAGAAGTGCACGAGGCCCGCGAGGCCGTTCAGGGTTGGGGTTTGGGTTTAGGGTTGGCTTCCGCCGTGCAGGGTTTGGGGTTCAGGGACTTCGTCTTAGGCGGTTAGACGTAAGGTTTCATTGAACAGTTGGCGTTTCCTCGCCGCCGGCGAAAGAGAAGCTGTACGGAAAGCTTTTCATTTTTAGATTCATGCCCACATCTTGAGAAGTTTGTAGGATAGTGCGAGCTCCCACCAACAACCCCACGAGACTCTTGGTCGAGGCCTCAGCACCTGCTCCTGGACTTCGACTGCTGCGGCCAGGGCTTGTTTGACAACTGCCCCTGCTCCCTTACATAATGAAGAGGTACGCGAAGAGATTCTGTTACCAGGTCGAGTTTGCGGCTGTCAGGGTCATACTGTTGATGAAAGAAAGCTTGCTGAAATCCCGAAGAGGCGGGGCGCTTAGGGTGCTCAACAGGAGTACACAGCATCGGTTCAACGAGAGAGCCGGTTCTCAGGATGTAACGTTGGATGTTTGGCATCGCTGGAGGAATTATCCCAAGCTTCAGTTCCCGGACAAAGGAAAGCAGCAAACACTGGAATCTCAAAATACCAGGAGCCTGGGCACGCGTACTCTTAGGCCTAAAATTTGGAAGCCTACGGCCACGAGCAGAGGCGGTAGATCAACCGCCAAGATAGCTTCCGACATAGAATCTCCAGCCAGGCAGCAGCGCCGCCGGGAGCGCGCCGAAAGTGGGTCGCATGCATCAGGCAGGATGCAAGGATTTTTGTCTGAGTCGTGGCAGAGGGTACTCTTGGGCCTTCACTCCTAACCGTTCTATGCAAAACCTTGCATTCATTTTCCAGCCCAAGACCTTTCGAATCTTTAGTGAGGCATAAGAAGTATAATAAACTCAAAGCTCCTAGCCGCAAATTCTTGCATCGCTGATCAGGCGGCGAAGTGCCGCCGCCAAGTTCCGACTCGAATGCAGGGAACAGGCATGGGCAACAGTCAGGTTTTGGAGTTGGCAGTTGGTGGTTTGATTCTGGTTGGGGGTTCAGGTTGTTTCCACGACTATTGTGGTGTGCTCTCTCACAGATTCAAGGCATGTGCCTGTGGCCACCTACCATGCCTCCTGTTGATAGTGAGTTGTTCACTGGGAGCCTCTCCCGGACGCCAGGACTGGTGCTGCTGAAACAGCGGACGATCTGGTTGCGCTGTGGATGAAGCAGCGATGGTGAAAAAGGGCTTGAGCATTGAGGTGGAATTGCAGGCCCGTTTCCATGAAGAAGGCCTCTGAGAAAGTAGAAGCAGCTTGCTTGCGCAACAGGTTGAACTGTTGAGGGCTTTTAAGGATTCTGGCTTGGCTCTCAAGTGGATCGGCTTGGCAAACAGAATTCTAGGAGCGCAGTTAAGACCACACTCTTCTGTGTGCATGGGTCAGCCATGTTCAGGCACAAGGGCTTCACTACACCTAAGACATGAAGGATGCAATGTCATGTGTGGAATTTGAGATGTCGTTGTCAAGACGTGTGCTTCCTCAAAGTTCAGTAGCTCATTATCATGACCAGTCTTTGGCACGACAACCGCAGCCACTTCTGGACCGAAGGGTTCCTAGCAGCGACAAGCCTTGCAGGCCTTGCTTGTCTCAACTCTCAAGATCCTCGACCCAGGAATTAAGCATACCTTGAACTGACTTTGCACTGGTCTGGTCTTTGAGAGACCCAATGCTGGAACCTGAATGATATGACTTGTAGTTACACAAGAACGATCAAAGCATGTGGGAATTCTCCACAAGTTGTCTTTCTACTCAGTATCCTGCAAAAATCCTCCCGTTTGGTTAGTTTATGCAGGTTCTTAGATTCTTGAAGCTGATGAATAGAGGCAGAGCCGGCAAAGAAGCTTCACAAGGAAGGGCCTGAACATAGCAAAGCTTCCAAGCTAAAACCATAGGCCCGACACCCAGGCCGAAAACAGCAATGCCTTGCCAACTTGCAGCTTAAAGCTGCAGTAAGCTGTCGTCATGGATGGGCACAGCAGTGCTTGCAGAGCCCTCAGCGCTGTCCTAGCGAAGTCATAGCGGTTTTGCGATGGTCGGCCCCTGGGCGTCTCTGGCTGCTTCCATCCACCATAAGATGCTAGCGTACACAAAAGCTCTGTACTGAGAGAGCCCTTTATCCTGGACACAACCGCGAGATAAGCACTTCAGAAGGGACCTACCGAGACATGGACTTTGACTTTGTTTGAAGCTCTCTGGAACTCCGTTTCCAGGCCCGAGTGCCTCTCTGCTTCAGGCGGGGCGCATCCGCCTTTCCGCTGCTCTGAACTCAGCGGTGCTCAGTGGTGTGGCCGGTGGGCTGTGCACGCCTCCCTCCGTGCATTCTGCAAGGACTTTGGATTTGATGAAGGTGCGATGAGGCTAGGCCGTTAGGTCAAGTAGTTTCGGAGCGAACAAAAGCACCAACCTTTTGCTGTCTCTGTGGTAGTATTTCATGCGAAGCTGCGCTCAGCACATTGGAGTCCCTTCTCCTTCCCGCCTGAGCCCTTTAAACTCTCCACCAGCTGATGCCCTCTGTCACGACGCACTCGAGTCTTTGGAATTCTGCACAATGCAGACTATCGTTCGTGCTTAGGTGAGCATCCCAGTAGCTCCTGCACACAGAGCCAACAATGAAAGATCTGAATTCCAAATATTTTGGGGTGTGCGCATGTTACACCAAGCAAAGGTGCAGCAACCACTGCGCGGAATCGCCAGTGGCGGCGGGAGAGAAGACGGAGGCGTTCTAGTGGCACCTGAACTGGAAGTCCAGGATTGTTGTAGTCTGCTAAGGGCGGAGAGTTTACTGGCAAACCTGTACCGAGCAGGGTGTCGAGGTCCTTCTGGACTCAGCCCACCAAGCCTCAAAGCATTAGCGCTGCACCTTCTTATTCCAATTCCTCAGCTGGAGAGACGGTGTTGGCAAGCTGCAATGAAAGCATGCACGAAAAGCTTGCAAACGCATGTCTTACACAAGCGACCCATACTTTGCGACAAGGTAGAGTCAGCGCTAGCAGAGGAGTGATTTTTCAAGAGGTAGCAGCACTTCAACAAGTTTGGGGGAGTCATAGCCGCAGCGGCAAATCTGCATAGACTCAAGCGCTTGTCCGGAAAACATGTTCATGCTTGCAGCTTCCCCAGAACCCTGTGAGCATGTCTGCAGAACCAGATCTACCACATTGAAAGGTGTCCCAGGACACTGCAACATCCGCAACAGCATTCTTGGCATCATCATCATCACCATCATCATCATCATCATCATCATCATCATGTCTGTTGCTATGACATGACCGTACAGATTCCCTCCATCATGGTGGCAATGTTCCTGACAAGAGCAATGCCATGCAAACTGCCCGAGGGTGTCGCTGCCTGGGCCAAAGATCCTCCCAGTCAGCTTCTCAACAGACTCTCCCTGCCCCAAGCTCAGAGTCTGGGTATTCCCATCATCATGATAACACAGCAGTACGGATGATGCCTGACAACGTGGCAGCCTTGCGAGTGCTGTTTTTCTCATGCAGAAATATATTGGACAGGATTCTTACGCCGATGGTGTTTCGTTATTGTGATTCGATGAGGTTTCGGAGTGCCACACGCTCACCCATGACTTTGCGTTGCTCAGCCAATTGCTTCGCATGCTAGTGTTGTTGGAAGGATGGGTGCCAGTGTTGTTGGCATGGCATGGTCTTTTCTCACACGCAACTACAAGGGTTGATAGATGGTGGAGTTGATCCTTGCCCAGACATGAAGTGTGCGCGACTTGAATTCTACACTAAGCCGGCGCCTTCGAAAGTGGATGTCGAGGTGCCACGGCTCTGAGACAGGGCATTGAAGCTTTGTCTGCAAACAGGCAGCTCGGATATCCTCGGATCGGGGTCATGTCATTGCCTATCCAAAGACATCGCACTTTTGCGTACTCTTTGTCGGGCAGGATGTTTGGTTGTTTGTAGGTGTATGTGAGTGAAGAGCCAAAGGATTCACCCGAATCTGCCAAGATTCCGTTTGAGTTTCTCTTACAAATGCTCACTTTGCTCCTCCGCCTCAACATCATACCAACAAAGCGCCATAGCTGCACGTGGCACGGGTTAACTTGTATATGTGGGATGACCTAGGGACACCTCTTTGGCCAGCCCATGACGTGCATGCCTCTCTCTTCTGCCTGTGACTGTGAAGACCTCTTCTGGGCCTCGCGGTGCTCCGCCGGGCCGAACGCCTCGCTTCTCTCGCCAGCGACGAGGCGCGCAGAGGAATTCCCGTTTGGGATGTCTGTGGGGTGTCTGTTAGCAGAAGTGGGCTCAAAGAAAACTTGTATCTAGAGGTTTTTTTGTGGGAGACGGGAGAGCTCAACATTGTCAAGAAATCCAGGTCGTATGCTCGCCAGGAACTGTCAGACTGTCATGGGTGTCCAGCAACCCTTGCACCGATTCGGCCTCTCACCAAGCTTGTCGCTTGATCAGACTCCGCAAAAGCGACCGAACAAGTTCTTCCAGAGGTCGAAGCTTGACGAATAATAGTTGCATGAACTCAGACATCTCCCTAGATGCCCGAGACACTACAGCAAAGAAGGCAAGATCTCTCAAAGCCTCAATGTAAACTCTTGGAAAGCTCCGGCCAGCATACTTCAAGTCAAGTTCAAGCACTCGAGCGCTGCCCTCGGAGACAACGAGAAGCCTCGGCAAGCTAATGACCAAAATCCTAATAGCGTGTCGTCGCCACTTGCCGTCTATCCTCAACTCTTTGTGCTTCGGCGGGCTGCAGTGGCACGGGTCCGCGGGGCCCAGCCACTGTTGGGAAAGCCATGCCGCCCACGGAAGGCGCTGACAGGGGTGCTTAGGCTTCTTTGGGTTACGTGGACTTCAGAAAGCTTCCCCTCGTGATCTTACTTTTGTTACAATCGTGTGCAGAGCACAACTTCCCCAGTTGCAAGCTATTCCGATGGGTTGCCTTGGGGTTATACAGCTCCAGGAGTTTTAGCGCATGGAGGCTCTGCAAGCTTTTCGCAAGACAGGAGGCTTCTAGATTCTTGTTCAAGGGCTGCCTCCATACCACCAAGGCTTGCCAGTTCGCTTGAGGCTTCGCGCAGCCCCACAATCAGCCTACAACTGGTGACAACTTATGCCAGCTTTCATGTGCTATGCATGTCTGCCAAGGTCATGACCTGACATCGACACAGCGGATTTTTCCATCCTAACCTCTCAGGAGTCCCAAAGCCTGGATGATTTACTCATTGCAAGGACGATTGTGCGCGGTGTTATCTTTCCACAAGTTTGTTAAACTTCGTGAGCAGGGAAGGAAATCGCAGGCCCCCTAAGCCCTGTCAACCTGGAAGCCCTATCAGTTCAAAGGCTCAAACTAAAGGAAGTCTACAGCACCCTGCGCAGCTATCAGGGACCTCCGCCTCCGAAGCGAGTGCGGGGGGCAAGGGCTGCAAAGCGGCATGCGGGAGGCAGCTCTTAGTTTCGTGCCAATTTGCTCTGCATGAGGGATCCTGCGTGGTAGCATCAAGGGCTTCAGGCCAAGGCTATGAGGAATCGTAGAGAATTGAGGAAAGAGGATGTGATTGTACACGTATGGGTATTATATCTGGATCAGATCTTCAAAAGCTGAATCTCTGCACGGGCAAGTTGCAAGCCACTCGTTGCAAGATCTGATTTGTAAGATTGTGGGGTCAATGCTGTACGGCCTTTTGAGTGCTGGCTTTGCGGCATTTGCGCTGCAGGCCTCACGTGCCCTGAAGCTTTGGCCGCATGATGTAGTTCACCATGTAGTTACATGTAGTTACCGTGTGATGCAACTTCTTTTCTTGCTCTTGCAGTGCCACATTTGGTTGCATCCAAAGCTGAAAGCCCAACATGAACAACTATGCCTAGATCTCACCCCCTAAGCTACATTGTACAGCCGAGCTGCAGGTGTATATGGCAATTGGCTCAGCAGCCCGAGACGAGGTCCGCCAGAGAGAAGGAA